TTCAAAAGGTTTTTTTTGGCCCCCCCAAGAAGGGGGGGGTTGACCCCGGTTTGGTAGTTCCGTTTCCCCCAAAAAGGGGTTGGGGGGGGGCACTTTTTTTGCAGGGAAAAAATTCAGGGAAAATTTTTTTTGAAAAAAGGGAAAAAATTGGGGTCGGCAAAAAATTTTTTTTTTTTTTTTTCCCCCAAAATTTCCCCCAATTTTTTTTTTTTTTTTTTTTTTTTTCCCGGGGTTTAAAAAAAAAACCCAAAAAAAAAATTTTTTCCCCCCCCCCCCCCCCCCCCCCCTTCCCCCGATCCCTCTCCCTCTTTTTTTAACTAATTATGACAATAACAGTACAAGCTTGAGTTCGGGCCAGGAGTGGACGAGCACTTCCAGGCGTTCCAAGGGGTGCAGAAGGTGATGCACAGGTACCTAGAAATGAACACCTCGAGCGACGCGCTCAAGTGGTACGTGGGCGACGTGGACATCTACGATGACGCCCCGCCTATCCTGGCGTTCTGAAGCGCGCCGAGAAGAAGGGGGCCGCCCGATTCGACCGGGCACACCAGTCCGAATGGACCGGACACACCAGTCCGAATGGACCGGGCACACCGATAGGGTATCTGGAGGGTTCCATTCGGAACGTAGATTGTAAAAAACGACGACAAACCCCTGGAGGAGGGTTCTTGGTTTTGGCTGGCCTCCCTTTGCCTTCCCCCGGAACGTGGGCAGGGTTGCAGGAGAGCTGTGAAGTTTTTTTTTTTTTTGACAACGTGTTGCGGCCTCTCCTGGGGTTTTGAGCGGGAGCTTTTCGTTTGGAGAGCGCGGCGCTGGGAGTGTTGGAGTCTCCGGCCCCCGCCTGATGATGCCGTCACTGGTGGCTGTTTCACGAGCCGTGCGAAGGAGCTATTGTGCGGGCTGGACTGGGCTGGGCTGGAGGAGGGGGGAGAGGGTACGCGATTCGTACTATTTCCAGGGGGGGGGGGCATGGCCCCCTTCCTGAATGGGGGGGGGGGTATTT